GGGGGGGGGGGGGGGGGGGAAACATTGAAAGAAATGTAAGATAGCAGCAAACAATGTTAAATATTAAGGTCACACAGACAAAGATGTGCGATTCTTCATTGGGCCTGCTTCCTGATGATGTTCGCGGGCGGAAGCCGCGCTGGCTGCACCTGCTTGTTTCTTTTAAGAGCATTCATCCGGCTGTTAAACTGCCAGTACACGACCCCAGCCTTGCTAAAAGAAACTTGTCGCCTTATCCGACAAGTTCGGGGCTTGTGAAAGGTCCATTTCACGGTGCATATCCCAAATTCGAATTTCAGGGTCAAAGTCCCCCAAAGTCTGAATAGGCCCAGACGATCGAAACTGAAAGGTAGTCACGTCGGGTATCCAAGAGGCACGGGTCAGACTCAAAGGTGCCCAATGGCCAGTCAGGTCCCACAGTCTGAAAATGCAGCAGCCCTCCAAAGAAAAGTCTGGGAGGCACCGGCCCAATATTCCAATGCAAACAGGCCGAGGGGCACCGGTACCAACAAGTCAAACGCAGACCCAAGTCAAGCAGAGGCCAGTGTCCAAGTCAATAAGAAGACTGGCCAGCCTCATTTCAGGAGAATGCTCATTCGCGAGAAGGTGGAAGTGCTGCTGAGTGCTTGTGCGGTATTGCGAGTTGACCGAGCACTGGGAGCCCTGCTGGGCAGCGCTGCCAGTAGTAGGCAGGTGGCCATAGCCGCTAGTAGAGGTAGAAGTAGGATGTGTGTATGAGGCGGATGCATCCAGAGATGAGAACCGCGTAATAGCAGAGGACAGTAAGAACTCCAGAGAGAGAGAGAGAGAGAGAGAGAGAGAGAGAGAGAGATGACCAAGTGCTGGGAGCCCTGCTGGGCAGCGCTGCACAGTAGTAGACAGGCGTCATAGCCGCTAGTAGAGGTAGAAGTAGGATGTGTGTGTGAGGCGGATGCATCCAGAGATGAGAACCTCGTAGTTACAGAGGACAGTAAGAACTCCAGGGGAGAGAGAGAGAGAGAGAGAGAGAGAGAGAGAGAGAGAGAGTCATCTCCGTGCACTTCTCTTGTGTGACGGGCTGCTTGTAACACACATCCAGGAGCACCTTGCACTGGCTGGTACCAACCTTTTCCAAAGCTCCGGATTGATCTCACATGGCAGCTGTGATCGCGAGGACACTCTGTTCCCTAGCAGTATGTGCCGACTGCTTGCGCCTGCCAAGTGTCTCTGCCCGGACGGGGTTGGCTGTTGTCCCTGCAGTGTCTGCACCGCCATCCGTGCAACCGCTGCTGTGCTGCAGCATCCATTGTCGCCTCGTTCCGCTGCTCGCTCGGTTCTCCGCCAACGCTTCCTGTATCCCAAGTGTTGCCTAACCTGCTCGAACCACTGGCTTGCGACCCCTGTGCATCCGCATTCTCAGGTAATGTCTGCGAACGGCGTCCCTCTTCACTCTGATGCGACTTGATCACCTGATAAATTGCACGACTACGCTTATCGAATTTGTCGATGATATCGAACCATGCCCTACGCATAATGAAGTCCAGACATTTTTCAGCTCTTGTCTCCACGGACATGTCCCAGTAACTCTGCTTCCCGCTGCGGCCATCGTTGTCGACGATAGCTTTGTAGTTTGTATAAATGTAAGTCCAATGATTCTTGCACATTGTCATCGTCCGCTTGAACCCAGCAACAATCATCTTCTGTCTGACAAGGGCCCACACTTTGCGCAAAGGCTGGGGTCTACCAAACGCCCCCGAGTCCTCTCCAGGTGGCTCTTGAGGCTGAGGGCGCCGGTTCGAAACCGTGCTTGCACGGAGGAGGTCCTGTGGCTGATAATGTACAGACTGTACTTAAACCGGATAACCAGCCCGGAAATCATACCTGGATGTGGTGGCCCGTGGATAAAACCGTTGGATAAGCACTTGTGTTGGGTGAGAGCGGAGTGTGCGACTACTGCCTGTGTGGCGGATGCCTTGTGTGGTGTTGTGTGTGCGTGTGTGAGTTGAAGGACACTACAGCCATGCCGGGGTGGGGTGGATATCACGACCGGCATGGATCCACTTTTGTACACTGTGTCATGGCTGTAGAGGATGAGAGACTCGGCTCTTGAGGCTGAGGGCGCCGGTTCAAATCCGTGCTTGCACGGAGGAGGTCATGTGGCTGATAATGTACAGACTGTACTTCAACCGGGTAACCAGCCCGGAAATCATACCTGGATGTGGTGGCCCGTGGATAAAACCGTTGGATAAGCACTTGTGCTGGATGAGAGCGGAGTGTGCGACTACTGCCTGTGTGGCGGATGCCTTGTGTGGTGTTGTGTGTGCGTGTGTGTGAGTTGAAGGACACTACAGCCATGCAGGGGTGGGGTGGATATCACGACCGACATGGATCCACTTTTGTACACCGTGTCATGGCTGTAGTGGATAAGACACTCGGCTCTTGAGGCTGAGGGCGCCGGTTCGAATCCGTGCTTGCACGGAGGAGGTCATGTGGCTGATAATGTACAGACTGTACTTCAACCGGGTAACCAGCCCAGAAATCATACTTGGATGTGGTGGCCCGTGGATAAAACCGTTGGATAAGCAGTTGTGCTGGATGAGAGTGGAGTGTGCGACTACTGCCTATGTGGCGGATGCCTTGTGTGGTGTTGTGTGTGCGTGTGTGTGAGTTGAAGGACACTACAGCCATGCAGGGGTGGGGTGGATATCACGACCGGCATGGATCCACTTGTGTACACCGTGTCATGGCTGTAGTGGATAAGAGACTCGGCTCTTGACGCTGAGGGCGCCGGTTCGAATCCGTGCTTGCACGGAGGAGGTCCTGTGGCTGATAATGTACAGACTCTCCAGGTGGCACCTTGAACTCACACCTCAGTGTAACGAGTAGAACTGTCTCATCATCTTTCCATTTCGGAGTTTTTACCTGCGTCTTCGCAACTTTGTCACTTCCCACCAGATGCTTGGCCCCACCTTTCCCCACTACACCAACACCGTCATCAGGCATACCGACATGAGAACTGCGTCGGGCAATGCCGTCACCCGACCCTCCCACATCACCACCTACATGAGTATCACTCCCACGTCCACCGCCACGCACATTACATTCATCTTGAGAAGCAACAGCATCCAACCCAATATCCCCACCAATGCCTGGATCTGCCTGCCCACCACCTTCCCCGGCCCCCACAGATGCACTATGTGAAACATCCTGGCCTTCCCGAGGAGCATTAAGATCTTCGATGGCAGCAGTAGTTTCATTTTCTCTGTTCGGAGGCCGTCCAGCAGGAATGGAATCCTTTCCTCTCCGTATGCGCCCATCTGATTTAGGACGTGATTTAGAATGTGATGGTTGCGATGATGTGAAACCGCCTGGCATTGTTGCCACCGCTGATGTGCAAAGACCAGCTCCCGCGATAGCGTTATTGCCAGGACCGACGATGAAAGCATCTGCGCATTGCGGATAAGCTGACCCCTTTCCCGTCCTATCAGGAACTCCCACTTGCACCGCTTTGCTCGGAACCTGTGAGGGACAATTATCAATCGCCCCAGCTGCGACAATAGATGGCACGCCTTCTGGATGGCAGAAAGGTACGTTCACTCCCAATGAGGGTCCGCAGGGTTGACCATACATTGCAGACAGGGAATCTATGCGTGCACAGTGCGACGGTGAAGGTTGGGAAACTGCGTGATGTGAATGCACGAACGTTGTGGGGGGCTGCCGAAATTCACATGTTGGCAACAAACATTGAACACCCCGCACACCAGCCACTGTTATAGGAAGCAATGACCCATCCAAGTTGTGTGGATGGGGATGAGGTATCGTGATGCTGCCAGTCGTGCTCTGCGATGCGAAGTATGGAGGATGTATAACATCCTGCAGTGGCGGACGGTGAATTGAAGGGTGCAAACCCAACGACAGTGAATACTGTTGCTCGCGCTGACGCTGTGCATGCAACTGCGGGTTCAATTCAACCGGATATGACCGATGCACCTCGTTTCCGTGTAACACTGCCATAGATGGCAATGCATGTGCAATCGAAGAGCTTCCAATACGATGACTCAAACTGTCACCTCCCAGCCCGTGGATATGCCGCTGTAAACCTTCGTAGTCAATCCCCCCAGAAACACCAACACGAATTTTAAAGGTAGGACGGACAGAAGGGGAACTGTGAAGATCCGGGTCAAACCCTGTACTATGAGGCACGAACCCCTGGGGCGGTACAAAAGGCACATACAAGTCCATCCCCGCGACTGGGATAATGAGGACCGGAGGACGTAGAACACCAGAGTGCACTCACTGCAATAGTCTACAAACGCGGATATAACGAGAACATTAAACCCGTACACGCACGCGCGCGCGCGTGTGTGTGTGTGTGTGTGTGTGTGTGTGTGTGTGTGTGTGTGTGTGTGTG